GCAATTACAACCATGTATAGTCCTCGCCGCCCGCTAACGAATACGCCAAAGCCTATAAAAAATGCAAGAAAATACGATAACTGGTTTCAAGTTGTTGCTACCCTCCTTCATTATCTAATGCTGGTCCACTTGCTACAACATCTACAAAAAAAAGATCATAGATAAGAACATAGCCTGCATAGGATTATTAGGAACATTCTTCTTTTTTATCAAACCAACATCAGTATGGCAAAACCAAACACAAGGTGCTAATTAACACTAATGTGAATAAGTGATCCTAGTGCATGCTCACGGGATCCCATCAAGCCAGCTCCCAAACATACGACGGTGATTGACCAATTAAGAGAAGCAAAATGAGAATCAAGAAAATGTCCTCGCAATACATACCACACAAAAATATTAACTTCCATAGGTGTACAAAGTTTTCAAATGTGCCTACTTCAACACCTAAAGCCAGAGGTAATCAACACATTATATATCGAGCTAATCGGTGAATTTCATATATTTATGAAATGACATCTAAAAGACATTTTCGTATAATTGTAAAGAGTTTAAACATACTGACACAGCAATTTTGTGAACACTCCCTTATTTACACTTACAAAAAAACTAGAAATAGTTTGGTAGAGCACACAATATCATTGGCCTTCCTGGCTGCCCAAGCGACCACCACGGAGACAACTAAAGGGTGATCAGCAACATGTCTGTCAAGGAATAGTCAACGCCATTAAGGTACAAAATCTTCTAAATAAACTATGATGATATACATGTATATCACTCACAAGTGTGAGCATGACAATCATCATAAGATCCGTTTCGGGAAAAAAAATCATCATAAGATCTTCTAGATTCACCACATGCACCAGCGCCGGTGCCCTGTTCATCAACTTATAGTCCCGCTGTCTTCCAGTGTTAACTTGCCCTCTTCGTTTTGTAGACCTGCCCAAAATAAAAGAAACAAGCACATAACACAAACTACTTCCGAAGGAGATCTCGGCACACATTTATCAAAGACGATGTGTTCCTAGCAGGAGTTCTTTTTTAGTGCGAGCATTCCTACTAGATTTCTTGTAAATAACATTGTATCTTTGCTGTACAAGTAATGGAAAGGGGTTAGCCCGGTTGGATGTAGATACCGAGATATAGATATTGTTGCATATTGAGTATTGACACACGACATGCGTTGACATGCATTGTTTGTGCCTGGTCCACGTTACACACGTCATCACTGTGATAAAACATCGCATTAACCCACTTACTATCATGTCACTTCCTATACTTACCTCTTCGAGTTTGTACCACTGACCGTGAAGGAGCTACTACCGGTGCACCCATCCCACATGCAACGTGAAGAAGCAGGTGCAGCGCCTGGCCAAGGACACGGCCATCGTGGTGACCACGTACGAGGGTGTGCACAACCACCCCTGCGAGAAGCTCATGGAGGCGCTCGGCCCCATCCTGAAGCAGCTCCAGTTCCTCTCCCAATTCTAACCATCCACATCCGGCCAGCAAGCTTCCATAATAACCTGGTCAAGCCACAAAAATACATGTATAATACGTATGTACCAG